GAACACTGTATAGTTAAAGCCGAGTTCTGGCATTTTGTGGAGGGCTGAGGGAGAGATTTATGCCTTTACCTTATGTTGACAGACAATTTCTCATTACAGTAGTAGATATAATTTGCATCATCCAACAATGGTGATTTCTAATGAGGAAAGGGGCTTGGAGTATAAGACAGTGGTGTGTGTGTAAAGAATGGGTTTTTATGGCACTTTTCGGGCATGTTAGAGCAGGCAAATCACAAGTGCAGTGAATAAACTTGATTACAACGTTTAGATGTGCTGGGAACATCGTTATTGTACTTGTTGGGAAACCGATTGCATTGTTAATGGTTCATTTCACCTGTGTATTTTCTGCTATGATGTCATGCAGTGAAAAATGTCTGCTGAAAGCTGCAATGGTAATTGTAAATATGTTGTTACATAAATAACACTGGTTGTTATACATATATGTTGTAACGCTTTAAATATGTATGTTTCAGAATAAGATTAAAAGCAGAGTTTTTCTCGCCTCATTTTTTATTTGCAATGATAAAATGGAGATGTGGTTAGATTTTAAGGTTAGGAACTTGTAGGAAAATTGCCCACCCAGGACGAGTCAGTCATTGAAAAGCAGCATATGATGATCAAGCTGACTTTAGGATTTAGACTTCTGGTTTTGCTCTTATCTCAATTGTATAGTAGCTGTATAAATAAGTGAAAAAATGGACCTAATAAACTGACAAGTGAGTGCACATAGAGTATATAAAATCCAGGTATGGGCCTTTAAAACAAAATTAAACTGTCCATCAGGGTTTCTTCTTTGTGTTCCCATAAGTAACAGACTGAGTTTAAAAAAATCCCATTGGCTCACACAAAGATCACTGGGTAAGGATGTAAAATAGTTTTTCTTAAAAGCGGAACCATCGATTTCAGTTCGGTTGTGTAGCTCTTTGTGTGTCAGAGCTGTTGATCCGGTGAAGGTCAGCAGCCTGATCCTGTGTTACTGTGTGTTGTTCTGTAAGCACTTTGGATTCACAGAGTCTTTTCTGTGCTAATTGGCGCAGTGCTGGACAACAACAGAAATAAACACCGGAGCTGTGTTCTCCCAAGAGGTCTGTACTTTATGTAGTGGTTCATTTACATCTTCCCACATCTGACACATTGATCATGAGAGCCGAAGCATGAAATGGTGACAATATAGAGGGATTAAAGGGAGAAGAACAAGCGCAGTGTGAATAGGTCACCTGTCACACTTTAGATGGGCTGACAAAGAAAACCCCCTCCAGGTAAACCCACCACACATCAATCCCAAAAGGCCCGTCCTCTCGCTGACTTGCAGTCTTTTCTAGTCTTTCCTGTATCACACTGTTCCTTACAAATAGCTTGAAATGTTCAGATTCAGTCTGTCATTACATTAATGCAAACCATAATGAAAGCACTATAGTTCTGGACAGATTTTTAATGAGAGCAAGCTGACATTACACTCATTGACAATAATCAGACTGACTGTGCTGTCTGTCCCTGCCTCGTTACCAAGTTACTGTTTCTTCACCATCCTCTGAGTGTGCTGTCAGTGCAGCTGCAAATGAATCCCTGAGAGGTTTGTTTTGAAAGGACTGGTGGGCGGGAGGCGGATGTCCATGTCCACAGTATTCACAGTAATGTACGCTATACTGTAATTCAGCCACTAAGACAACCCAATGACCTAGAGCTTGGAGAAGACACGGGGGCTAGTATAAATGATTTCTGTGTCCATCATGGGTGAGTGAGAGTGAGAACAGTGCTAACATGGCCATCAGTCTTGGCAGTGGCTGTAAGTTTCATGGACTCATCTTAGAGTGTCTGCCACTATTTCTTAATAATGCTTCTTCTCCGTCTGCCTCCAGGGAAATACTCCTCCAGTGGTGGTGAACACTGACACACTTGATGGCTCCCCATATGTAAGGATTATGTTTAATCTTCTCTTTATTGTGCTCTTATGTTTGGCTCAACCACATGACTGCCTTCATATTCAGTCTGTTTCATCAGCAATCCCATTGTTTCTCAGTATCCAGGTTGGTCTTTGCCCATTGTTTTAATCTGAATGGTAACAGTAATTACTTTTAGTCCTTTTTAATTAAAATGAGGTTTCTCCGTTTGATTTACATTCGATTCAGTTCTTTAATGGTGCAATTTGTAAAATGGAAAGCAATGAACATTATCTTGCATCATGAGGGATTAGAGAATGAGGTATCTCAGAGAAAATCTCACCATCACAGAACGGCATTTTTGCAGCAGTAAGAAAAGTTACATTCTAGGTCAGACACCAGAACAGTCTGAAGTTCTTTAAATTCCCTCTACCTCGGGGACTTGCTTAATTGCAGAAGTAAAGCTGATGTGTAGCTGATGGTCCACACATTCAGTGTGTCAGAAAAGGAGCAAAATGAGTTTGGATAAAGTTTGGTGGGCAGAACTTCTGGTGCAGGGTTGGTGCTATTACATTTTGGTGCTGCGTTCAGGAACTTATAGGAAAATCCCCCTCCCAGGGCAAGTCAACCATTGAAAAGCAACATATGATGATCAAGCTGACTTTAGTACTTAGACTTTTAGTTTTGCTCTTACCTCATTTGTATAGCAGCTGTATAAATAGGTGAAAAAAATCCAATCATATTTGATCTACTCAACACTCTGTAAATTAACATTCTTTTCTAACAGTTGAATGGGACGGAAGGGGAAATCGAGTATGAGGAGATCACACTGGAAACAGTGAGTCTGAGAAAATGATCTTTTAAACTTGATGTCAGACATGTGTACAATACAGAGCTGTTGTATTGATTATTAGTGGCTTTTGTCTTGTTCAGGACAAATAAATATGAGAATTCAACAATACATGATCATAACGGTTAAATGCCCCTGACGTCATTAATAATGGCGGTGTGTTTTTGTTTGTATTTGCTACCTCAGGGTAACTCAGGCCTGGGCTTCAGCATAGCAGGGGGAACAGACAATCCCCACGTGGGTGACGACCCCAGCATCTTCATCACCAAAATCATACCTGGAGGAGCCGCGGCTCAGGATGGGCGGCTGAGGTAAAAAAAAAACAAAAACCCAACCATCAAAAGCCAGATCAGACTAGACCAAGTCTACCACCCCTGTCCTACCTGTTTTTTCTGTCCACTGGAGAAGGGGCCTAAACAGAACATCAACTCTTCATTCCAAATCCAAAGGAATGGTTACAGCAAGCCAAACCTGTTTCACTGTTCATATGGGCACCTGTTTTAAGGCAAAGCTGAAAAAATGTGAAACTTTATCATCTATAATCTTTAACTGTATCCTTTAAGACAGTGAAAGCTCTTCTGCAGCTGACTCTTGTGCTAAATAAATAGCAGCTACCTAGTAAGTGAGATTATGAGGGAAAGGTCAGTTGTCTGTGGTGGATCCTTGACACAGCTATAGTTGGAGGCTGAGTGCTCCTGACCTTGTCTGGTGGAGGATTTCACTCGATTTCTTCATCAAAACAAAGGTTCATGCTTTACTTTCAGCCTCCCTCCCACTGCCTCTGTCTCTGTCTCTTAGTGTGAATGACTGCATCCTCTTTGTGAATGATGTCGATGTGAGGGAGGTAACGCACAGCCAAGCTGTGGAGGCTCTTAAGGAGGCAGGTGCTATCGTCCGCCTCTACGTTCTCCGCAGAAAACCTGCAGCTGAGAAAGTCGCTGAACTCAAACTCATCAAAGGGCCTAAAGGTATGTGGAAGTGCGGGCTGGTCTACAGCACCAGTGCCTTTATGTGAGCTTAAGGATGCTTTATCCCCGGCTCAGCTGTGCACTCTGGATTTAGCAAATCTGCTGTGTTAACCCACAGATCTTTTGCTCACACTCTGCCTTTCTCATTGCTTTCTTTTCTCAGGGCTAGGTTTCAGCATTGCTGGAGGGGTAGGAAACCAGCACATACCTGGAGATAACAGTATCTATGTCACCAAGATCATTGAAGGTGGGGCGGCTCATAAAGACGGGCGCCTGCAGATTGGAGACAAGATCTTAGCGGTCGGTCACTCATATGTAATAACTACTAGCATGCAGAGAGATGTGCCCACACACATACTGAACATATTACCAATAGCTTCAACCCTTAACTGTCTAAGCACCAAGACACATATGCACACTCACACATTTGTTTATATAAGTAGCACTAAAATAAGCCTGAAATTACTTTCACTGAAATATGCAAGGATGTGTAGGATGCGGTATATGTGTTATAGTGTATCTGAAGGAGCATTACTGCCATCTATTGGAGAACAGAGAGAATGTAACATAGCAGCTGATGGCAAGCTCGGCCTCAGCACCTTCAAAATGGTGTCTCAACAAATGCTTTCCCTCTTCATGGGATATGGCAACATGCTTCTGCTCAGTATGAATCTGCTCAAAAACACATTTAACATCAATGGATATATCAAATCATATGAAATAATGCCTTTTTCTAACCCTTAACCCACAGTGCTAGTTAAGGGTGAGAATCAAACCAAAAAATAGACACAATAAAATAAAAACAGCTTTAAATGTGTGGGGCTAAATGTTTGTGTTTTGACTGTAAACACTGTAAGTTGCTATACTTTTTCTATAACTGTAGTTTGCAGCTGATAGTCCTGATTGTGTTTCTCTGCTCGTGATGAACAATCAGGTGAACAACGTGTGCCTGGAGGATGTGATGCATGAGGATGCGGTGGGGGCTCTGAAGAACACAGCCGAGGTGGTGTACCTCAGGGTGGCCAAGCCCAACAACCTGTTCCTGACCAACTCCTACAACCCTCCAGACCTCACCAGCAGTAAGCCCCCCCCCCTCCCTCGGGACGCTGGGTTGTAGCTAAAATCAGACCAGAAAACTTTGTCACCAAATGGCCTACCTTTGAGCAGATGTATTTCCAAGAATGTACACCGACAAAATTAGAGCTTTTTCATCAGTTCAGAGCAGGAGTCAAAAATAGAGCAGAGGGAATAACTTGTTCCTTCTACAGTGAGAGACCGTGGGAGTTGTGTGAAAATTCAAAGCTGAGACAAATGTGTTCCTCACAAAGATTTACTTCCTCACAAAAACAGAACACTTCCCTTGACCTGAATCTACCTCTTGATGAAAGTCGGCCCTGTAGAAATAAACCTTGTAATAGACTTTCATGAGGTGATGGTGTTTCATACCAAATATACTAATGTATTTAGTTGGTGGAAAAGCCAACAGTCAGAACACTGAAGTACTATTTGAGTGGATATTGCATTTTTGTGTATAGTACCTGCCTGGTGTATTATAACTGTTTTGCTTTCTGTGTATTTTTCTAGCATATTCCCACATGGATACCGAACTTAGCCACCCCAACTATCTTGGGTCAGATTACCCACAAGCCCTCACTCCCACCTCACCTAGCCGGTTTTCTCCTATTCTACATGGGATGATGGGAGACGATGACATCCCCAGGTGAACAATGATCCTTCACCGATCCTTCTTTGACTATATCGTGTTTTAAATTGAAATTTAAATAGAGAAAACCATTGTTTTGGCCACCAATCTACACTAAATATCCTGTAACTTCAAAGTGAAAACATGTTTTAAAAATATTTCAAAATTTATTAAAAATTTCAAAATGTATTCATACATTCAGACCCTTAATTAGTATCATTACTACTTAGTAAGAGCCCCTTTAGCAGCAGTTACAGCTTTGAGTCTTCTTGGGTAAGTTTGTCCAAGTTTTGCACATCTGGAATTGGGCAGTTTATCCCATTCTTCCTGGCAGATCCTCTCAAATTTCATACAGTTGGTTGCAAAGTATTTGTCAACTGCCATCTTCAGATCTCGCCACAGATGCTTTGTGGGGTTTAAGTCTGGGTTCTGACTGGGCCGCTCAAGGACAGTCAGCGACTTGTGTTGTCTTGGCTGCATGCTTCTGGTCATTGTCATGCTGAAAGATGAACTGTCACTGCACTCTGGAGCAGGCGGCTGGCTGCATTCATTCTTTCCTGAGTTCTGACCAGTCTCCCTGTTCCCTGCTGCTGAGAAGCAGCCCCACAGTATGATGCTGCCACCACCAAGCAGTCAGTATTAGCCAGGTGATGAAGAGTGCCTTGCGTTCACTAGACAGAGTACTTGGATTTCTGCCCAAAGGGTTCAGTTTTTGTCTCATCAGACTAAAGAATGGTTTTCCTCATGTTGCCAGAGACCTTTAAATGCTGTTTGGTAGACTCCAAGTGGGCTGTCTTATGACTTTTAGTCAAAAATGGAAGCATCTTGTCACTCCACCAAGACCTGAATAATGGAGAGTGACTGAGATGTTCATCCTTCCGGCAGATTCTCCCATCTCTGCACAGGACTTCTGAAGCTCTGTGGGAGTGAATGTTGGGTCACTTCTTGCCTGGTTATTGTGTTTGCTTGCCGGCTAACTCTAGCAAGAATCCAGGGTTTTCCTAACTTCTTCCCCTCGCGGTGTTCCTGGGAACACTCACAGCTTTAGAAATGGCTTTATACTCTTGACCTGATCTACAGTATGCCTCACTACAGTTTTATCATGGAGGTCTACAGAGACTTCCTTGGACTTCATGGCTTGGTTTATGCCCTGGCATACAACGTGAATTGTGGGACAGGTGTGTGTGCCTTTCTAAACTGTATCCAATTAATTCAGTTTGCCACAGGGCTCCAATCATGTTGTAGACACTTCTCAAGGATAATTAAAGAAAACACTCCATACTTTAGAGTGCCACATTTGCACAAAATTCTAGAAACATGTTTTCACTTTGTCATCATGTTTTATTTACTGTAGACTGAATGTCAGTTTTATCCATTTAAAATTATATCTACACCATAATATGTGGTAAAAAAGAAAACCATTGTAAACCGCTTTATTATTTGTAGTAGTAGCAGTAGGATTAGCAATATGAGTGAATTTGAATTGTGCATAGTATTATCAATAGTATACTATTGATTTTCTCATCTCTCCTCCATTTTTTATTTCAGAGAGCCTCGCAGAGTTTTGATCCACCGAGGTTCCACAGGTCTAGGATTCAACATTGTTGGAGGAGAGGATGGAGAGGGAATCTTCATCTCCTTCATCCTGGCAGGAGGGCCAGCTGACCTCAGCGGAGAGCTGCACAAAGGCGATCAAATTCTCAGTGTAAGCACACTTTTATTTTCATAACACTGTTGCACTCTAATATATAACACATGATTTGTGGATTGTAGTTGTTAACAGTCATGGTGTGTGTGTGTCAGGTGAACGGCGTAGACCTTCGTATGGCCACGCATGAACAGGCAGCTGCAGCGCTGAAAAACGCTGGGCAGACTGTGACCATCATCGCTCAGTACAGACCTGATGGTAAAGCCTGAAAGGCCATCAAAGGCTTTTTCATGTTACACAGATTTTCAGTTTTTTTTATGTGTATATACATTATTTTAAGGGAAGCTGGTGCATCTTTATCACTTGAAGTACACACTTGTGCCTGAGTGTCAGGCAACAGACTTTTATGTGGTCGTATTTCTGTTTCAGAGTACAGCCGTTTTGAGGCAAAGATCCATGACTTGAGAGAACAGCTGATGAACAGCAGCATGGGCTCTGGGACCACGACCCTGAGGAGCAACTCAAAGAGAGGCTTCTACATCAGGTCTCACAGTCAAAGCACAAACAGAGTAACTGTGATACACAGATGAGACAGTGGATCCAAGACAAGACCTTGGTTTACATAACTTGTGACCTCAATACAGCAGAGGCCCACAGCTGCTGGGCAGCTGTAATTGGGATTACATATCTGCATTTACAATCTGGTCATTTCTGTAGGCCTAATTAAATTTAATGCCGCTGTTGAAGAGGAAATGATGTTGTGACTTTGTTAAGCATTAGTTTAACTGGAGTCCCTCACTAAAGCACTGCGCTCAGGGCTGGTGGCCAGAAGCAGTATTGCAGCATTACTAATGTTTAGTGCTATATTTTATTTACAGAAAGTTTCTTTCATTGTTCTGAAAAGAGTAAGCATGTTATTGCAGTTCTCTTCTTTCTTTACACAGACAACTGTGAAATATCCTAAAATATTCCTCTTTTTGGTTGTATTTCTTAATTATGTATATGGAAATGTGATTTCCATGCAAGGTTACAGCAATTTGTGCATGTCAGCATCTTAGATATTTCTTACCCTCAAACAAAGTACTGTAAACAGCCACCACAAACAGTATGTGATGTCTTCAAACTCTGGGAAAATGTTTTGTCGCTCAAGTAAAATGTAGGTAAACTGTTCCTAATGTTAGTGTTATTTGAAATTAAACAAGGTTTTTATTAAGTGACTGATCTGAATATTTTCATCACTCAGGGCTCTTTTTGACTATGACAAGACTGCGGACTGTGGCTTCCTCAGTCAAGCACTGGGCTTCAAGTTTGGGGATGTGCTGCATGTGCTGGACTGCGGAGATGAAGAGTGGTGGCAGGCCCGTAAGGTCAGCTCCCAGAATGAGGCTGAAGAGGTTGGCTTTATCCCCAGCAAGCACAGGTTAGACACCCTTTTCGTTGTGAGTGAGTGTGGAAGGGATGACTGATCTTTAAAGGCGCAGCATGTGAGATTTAGAGACATCTAGTGGTGAGGTTACAGAGTGCAACACTCAGCAAAGTTCTCATACATTGTGTTAAACAGCCCTCTCAGTGATTTCTGTAAATGTAGGACAAATTATGCACTTGGAAAACAAGTGCGACTGACTTGCCAAGCAAAAGCTAACCGTGGCTCATTTGACCAAAGTGGGTTAACCAGCAATGGCCATGTTTTAGCTAAAGCTGTCAAACTAAAGCATGCATTTAGATTAACTTTACTTGTTAGGCTAAATTACCTGTCCAGCAGAAAACAACTTCAGTTCATACTGGAAACATTTATCCCTCATCAAGGATTTCCATCTAGGAAAGTCCACACCAGTGTTTATTCTCGTCTTGTGCTGTCACCGATCCTGTTTCTTTGTGTCTTTGCTTCTTTAACAACAGGGATTCACGCTGTCTTCCTTTTGCTTGTGTCCTCCAGTTCTTCAAATTATAGTTTTTAAACTCATGACAATGCTTCATCTTGTTTCTAACATTACGTCTTCATATTCCAAGCATCTCCAAATCCAAGCTGCTACTTCAACATGAAAATACAAAATTCACACTCTAGAGCTAGTGTGTGGTTTGTCCATTCTAGGCTACTGTAAAACACATTGCAGCTGAACATGGTGGCCTCCATGCTAGGGCACCTGCTCCTATGTAGATATAAAAGGCTCATTCTAAGCTAAAGAAAATGCAACGTGTCTTATTTCCAGGTGATTACACATTAGTGAAAACATAATTATGCCTACTATAGTTCATTTCTAGATTTTACACACTGCACGTTCAATACGTTGTATTTTAGCAATTGCTAAACACCTTGATTAAACTATGTGTGTGACTAAAAGAACACATACAGGAGTTATTAGATTAAATAGCAAACTAATTGCTATTTAAAAATGTTGAAAAACTTAGTGACTTGATTTTATCTCAGTTGTTCTGCCTCCAAAATCTTCTTGGTCTTCCTCATCTCTACAGAGTGGAAAGAAAAGAGTGGTCTCGTGTTAACACCAAAGAGAGGGTAAGTTAATTCATCAGAGCCATTTGAATGAGATTGGTTCTCTCCAACCATCTCCCCGTGTGTAAATCTCTGCTATCGCTTCTGTTATAGGACCATGGTCGAGACAGCTTGGGCACTCAAGGTAATTAGTATGAAGCAGAAATGTATATTGACACTGCAAGCTACTATTTACTATTTCATGTTACTGATTTTTAGGAGGTTACAGTTAACACTAGAAATGGGCAGACTATAGGAACATGTGAACAGGATTTGCTGCACAGGCACAATCAATATCTTTCTGTTTTATTTACATATATAATATACAGTACATGCACATTTATAAAAATAGACACACACACTGTAGGATCCTGTGTTGTGTATCCACTAATACTCAGTTGAAGCCACAAGTGCCAGTAACTGCAGCCTCGGCAGTCCTTTCCCTGTCGTTATCCTACTGTTTGGGTGACACTGTTGTCATTTTAAAAGCCTTGCCGCCAATTTACAGACTGCTAAATATAAGCACAAGTGGTCTTCATTCACATTTTCCTCCAGACTGTTGTCCAAAAACACATATCACCTCTAACACGGTTACAGCTTTGCTGTTCCTGTCAATAAAGGCATCTGATATATCAGTGTCAGCGTTTTAAAATACATCACATTGAGTTCACACAAATACAGACACCCACACACGCAGAAGCATAAACCTAAATGTCATTTTTTAAAAATGGTGGAAATAAATTTGGCTGAATGCTTCTGTGTTCTGTCTCCAGGGAGAGATAAAACCTCCCACAGTTATGAGACAGTCACTCAAGTGGAAGGTAGGGTCATAAAGAAGATTGTTTGAAGTCCATTACTTTGTTTTGAGTTCCCTTCTGTGAATGCTCACGCTCACTTTCTTATCTTGTTTTCCTCATGCTAAGTTCATTATGCAAGGCCCATCATCATTTTGGGTCCTGTGAAGGACAGGATAAATGACGACCTGTTGTCTGAATTTCCCGATAAGTTTGGATCTTGTGTTCCACGTAAGTAATTACGTTGTCATTCACAGATACTAATCCACTCTCTGTTTTTTATTTGATGTCACTGCTGTCACCTTAAAGCCATTTTAGAGATGTAATTGCTTTAATTTTGAGATTCAAACTGCCATGGTTGTATGTGTTGCTTTTATTGGTTTATTGTTTGTTTGATAGACACCACACGGCCCAAGAGGGAATATGAGGTGGATGGACGGGACTATCACTTTGTGTCATCACGGGAACAGATGGAGAAGGATATCCAGAGCCATCGGTTCATCGAGGCAGGCCAGTACAACAGTCACCTGTACGGCACCAGTGTCCAGAGTGTCCGCGAGGTGGCAGAACAGGTGTGCAGCAGCATTTTGTACCAGGAAATAAGATTTAAAGGCAATGATGAATTGAAACATGATTTTTCCAATCCTAAGTTGTCATTAGTTTAATTAGACCCGCTAAATACTAAATCATTTATACTATAAATATAAGATCAAGTGTATGAGTGCTATTTAATGATGAATTTATTGGTGATCAAAAATACCTCTAATGTTCAAAATGTTTTATAAAAAGCAATACTCCATTAGAGAAAAACTTGAGAAAAAAGCCTTAAACTCTTAGGCTTGTTGCCTAATTAACTGAAAATGTAATTAATATTACTAAAATAACAATTGCCGTTTATTAATCCAAATTGTCTC